GAACATCTTGGCATTTATCTGCCAAAGTTTTGCTCCAACTTTTTGCATATTTTCTACATTTTTCTATAATTCCTTTGTTAATTTTGGACCAAATAGAAACAATTTCCTAATGGCTGTATTTTTTGATTTTTCTAAAAAATCGTAATTATCATATTTTATTTCATGATTGGTGACAAAAGTTGACTTTTGCATATAAAATGGAATAATTTGAGATGATCCCTAACATTACCTAACTCTGCATGTCTGTCAGTCACTTTCTGTTAAAATAACAGAAGGAGCTGGCAGTGGATATCAACTAATTAATATATACCCTACAGTCATGGTAACTCAACACTTGCCTAACTCTGCCAAAAAGAATCCTGATAGTCGTGTGTTCCTGAGCCTTTGGTGCTGGAGCACAACAGTCCTAAAACATTCACAAGCTTTGTCAAAAACGAATAAGAGAAAACTAGTCATACATTATTTCAAATATCATACATCTAGACAAGTTTTGAAATATCAAAATTAATATTAATTTTTGTATCCTGTTTATTATTGAAGAGTCTTTTATTGGAAATTATTCTATCGTAATCATTTATAATATTTGAAACAGTAGATGAAATTGCCTATTTTCAATATCAAGTTATATTTGACACCATGGCAACGAGGGAAATTAAATTAGGATGAATTCTATATAGCAGTAGAGAATACAAAAGATTGTGGACCTGAGTGTCACCTGCTCCCCCAGGAATGGATAAAATATTACTGTTTTTTTTTTTCAATCACAATCAAGGCCACAAAATGGCATTAGTGTCCTTCTTGCCTCGTTTTTTATTGACAAATTAATAACAATAATTCATACTTAGAAATGATGAAGAAAAAAAAAAGATTTTCCAGGAAGTGTTCAACATACGTGTCTCTAGGTACCATAGTCTTGCAATCCCGTCAAGGAGAAGAGAAGCAATCAACAAACAAACAGAAAAATATTATAAGTGAAAATAGTGCCGGGTTCAGTTTGTTGGAAAGATCTATAGAGGGTGCTGTTCGTTCGACATCACTCATAAAGACGTGGCCGAGAATTACAATGACTTTGAATGTATCAATCATGTGATCGTCTGTTTCCTGTTGAAACAGCAAACTGCCATTTAAATAAAGATAAGCAAGGAGAACTGCATTTTTTGGGGGGATTCCTAGAAATAGGGAAAAAGAAATTACGAAAACAAATAAAATGATATTCAGATACAGATTTATTTTTAAAAACACATAATTGAACAATATTAAAAATAAAATAAACACAAGTAAAAATAATAGATGTGAAATAAAAATACTGATTATTGGTTTCAAAATGAACCAGAATTGACTTTTACCCTCAGATAGTATGGTAACAATAAATTAGGTTTTAACGCAAATTTTAAAACAAAAAAATTTAAAAGTTATCAAATATTATTAGATAAAAATATTATCTTTAAACTGTGAATTTTTTTGATTTCAACTTAAGAAAAAAAAAAAAAAATTCAATTTTATAAAAATGTTTTTTTTTTTTTATTTTTTATAAAAATTTCCTTTAGATTTTATGTGTAGGACTGACAGATATTGAAAAAGTGAAGTTAAGAGAATACATGATCTACACATAGTTTCTTTTATTGTTGTTGGTTACCATCAGCATAAGAAGTTTAAATAAAAAAAATATATGCAATTAGCATTTCTATTGTTGCAGCAAGTTTAAGAATAGAATGATCCACAAATTACTAACAACTAGCCAGTTGGGATAATAGTCAGACAAATAAGATGAACAAATGTTATTCTGTTTATATTCAAAAGTTATTTTGTTTCACTCTGCATAAGTTAACAATTTTTAATAGATAAGGAATTGAAAACCAGTGCTCACTTCATATCATTCGCGAATAACGCTTTGTGAATTTTCTATAAGTTAGACACTGCCCTCTGTGAACACAAACCCTGTTTTCTTCAACCATGTTGAGGGCGCCCTTTTGTTTTCTGTGTTTTGGCATTGGGTACCTACACAAACAATTTTCTTACCTTATTGAATATTACAGTATGATGCTGTGCAAGTAATCCAATAGACAATGATACCTCTCACACACTGAGGTTCATGGTCATGAGACTATAATAATTATAAAATGTTCGTCTGTGATCTTTGTAGTTTGATTTGCTTCAGAACAGTTTCCCTCTTTTCATTGGCTTTCATTAATGATCTTATTGCCCTTGCTCTCATTTCCAATTCTAATATCTCCAGCTTACTGTGTACAATTGGCTGCTTATTCACTCCGGATCCTGTTACTCTATTCTCATGTGTGCCTTTATCTCCTCTTGCTGGAACATTCAATTGAATGCTTTCCAAATCACTTGGTGCATCTAAATCCACGACAGCCCCAACCTCTGGGCATTTTTCATCTATATTCTCACCTTTCAGGTTGCACACAATTTGTTCATCCATCACTTCCTGGTTACTATCACCATGGATACTAGCCCTATCCTCCTCATCCACATCATCATTAAAAAGACTATCTGATTCCCCAGAGTGCTGTGGGGACAAACTCAGAGCCATTTCCAGAACATCATCCTTTTCATTCAGTTGTTCTCTTTGATCCGTTGTTGAATCCACTATACCGTCATCTCTGCCATCATTTGGATCACTATCACTATGACAACTGACAAAACTCTCCCCCTTAACAACTGCCTCTTCTGATTTAAACTCACTATCATCCATTACATTACCTCCATCTTTATCTTTTTCAGATTTTGATTTCTTGACTCCTTCACCTTCAACCTTACATTTATGTTCATCCTCTGACGACGAATCATCTGTTCCTGAAGACGACGTCATTTCCTGGCCTGAAACACAGAATATATATTTACAGTGTTTTGCTCTATTAGAAGCGATTCTCTAACAGAAGTGCACATTAACTAAAACAAATGTATTTATTGTATGGTGGACCATTAAAATATGATTTATTTTGGCAAGACACACCACTGTTACTTAGATACATTCGGCTTGCTTTGGAATATCTGTTTTATTACACACATTTGTTTATGAATGACATGTCTAATAAAATTGTCTAATGAAAATGGCTGCCATTCGGCCATCTTGAATAGGATCACAACAGAATGTATGTGCAGATGTCCTATATGTGTGAAGTTTGAACTAGATTGGTCTTGGCATATCAGAAATATGGATCCAGAACTGAATTCTTTAAAATCTGATTCGCAAAATAAAATGACATGCATCTCGTTCTAATTGTGTTCTGTTTCTTTTATTTTTTAACACATAACATCCCAGGAGTGAATGAAAAGGTTTACAAATCAAATATTAGTAAAAGAAAAATAACTACATGAAAAATAAAGAAACAGAAAAAAAAATGATTAAAATTTGTATATAAGAAATGTGTTACTGGCTTAGTTTATGTAGGTGCTGCTGTCTTATACTCAAACAGTTTTTCAAATATTGTGCTAAAGGAATTGACATATTCTCATCACTTAGTAATGATATGAATTTATTTTCATTACTAAATTTGTCAAAATTTGGTATACATTTATTAGCTACAATCTTATTTCATTGTAACGAGTACAATTTAAGACAAAATGTTCATCTTCAACATGGTCATTGTCTCACATAATCTATGTATGTACTAAGTCAAAACTGAATTAAAAAAAAAGGGTGAATTTGATTTTTAGCCTTAATATGGTAGCAATTTGGCCATCTTGAAATATATGATATGATGTCTGATATGTGTGAAGACTGAACTGACTGCACTGCATTTTTTAATACCACTTTGAATCTGGTCTCAGAAATAAATGATGTACATCAAGGTTCTATTATGTTTAATGAATGTTCCAAGTATAAACTAAATCAGTCTACACCTCAATAAGATCAGGTTGTGGAATGGTGAAATCCATGTGATTTTGATGCATTTTCAGCCTTAAAATGGCTGCCATTCGGCCATCTTAAAACAGATCATGAAACACATGCATGTGCATATGTCTGAAGTATGCATCAAGTTAGATCGATATCTGATCGATTTATACACACATGAAGATTATCTGAATAGGGACTAATAATAGAATGACAAGCACCCTCATCATTGCACTGTGACGGGATTTGTTTTCATTTTTGCCAACCGACAATAAATGTTGCTTCATGATCAGCACATAAGTATATTTGATCAACAACATCAGCAAGTAAAAAATAAATACTGAATATACAAATATACTAACCATCCAGAACACATCGGATTCGCTTCTTGGACATGACTTCTAACTGGTCTAAGCACAAAGTCTTAAGTTCTGCCAATGGACAATTCTGGAACAAAATGAACAAAATGTTACTCATTTTAATGACGTCTGGTCGGTCTGATCCAGGCTACGAGGATATAGTCCAGTCTACTGAGGTGTAGTCCAGGATACCAGAGTATAGTCTAAC